TTCTAACGAAATCGATTTGGGGCACATCGGTTGGTTGGTCCGGATCATCGGATGGCTTCAAAGTCTTTAACGGACATAAGTAGAAACATTTTTTGCGTTTTATATAGATAGATAAAAAAAATTCAAAATGGCACACTAACCCTGATTTCAAGCAATATACTATTCTTTGGCACTTAATCAATCCATTAAAATCCTTGTCTCGTATTGTCGAGTCAAAAATGATTCCTTACAAATTTATATACCATAGAAATATAAATAGGGGGACTCAGGCAACAAAAGCCAGGATGTGGTATTACATCATGATGACCTCTAAAGCCCCCATAGGGTACTCGTTCCCATTACGAGAGAGTAGCGGAGATCGTCTTGTTCGCCCCGATTTACCTTTTATTACCACATCTGTTCTTAGCTACTCGCCGATTGACGGGGGTAAAACATAAACCAGAACCTTTAATACAAAAAATTTATTTTCAAATAACTTCTTTTTTACCACGTGTTTAATTTAATTTATTCATATTTCTTTTATAGAATAGGATGACAAACGAGCACACAGTCCACGTGATGGTAAGTGGATGCTGTGGCCCATATAATCTCAATTCAATCAATTTATCCTCGATTAGGAATCAAAATTCAGATGCGTTGTCACCCGTGAGGATTAAGATGGAATGCCTTGTTTCCAGTAAAAAGTGTCTCCGGTTCTCTACACTAACCATACGAAACACAGTAGCATTGAGCCGCTTTTCTACGCTGGTATTCTGTGAGAGCGTGGTTCTGCCCCGGTCGAGCCGAGCCATTCGTGCTACAACTATAATATATTTGTAGCATGGCTCCACCACGTAAAAATATTTATTATATATTTCATATTCTTAAATTATCATCAGATTCTAAGCAGAGTTCAAAATTTGATGTCTCAGGAAGTTAGTTTAAAATCAATTATTAAACTCGACCCGAACAGACATACACAAATGCAGGTTAATAAAAAGTGGTAAATAGAAGACAAAAGCAGAATTTGATTCTAACAAGCAACTAATGACAAAATGTACTTATTATCTTATCTTATCTTAATATACGGATGGACACGTACAGAAAAGTGTGTCATATTTCTATTACGTCTAAATTAAGGTTTAGTTGGGGTGACGCTGCTTCCAGTGCCATAGAATTTCAATCAAAGTTCCATTTATTTAAGAACAAAATGTCATTATTACAGATGAATTCCGAGAATTTATGGCATATTTTCTTGAAAGAATAAAAAAGGAGAATCGCACCGCGGTCGTTCATCCATTGCGCCGACGTTCACATCGTAATATAATAGATTAAAGGTCTGAATCCCTACCGGAAGTGCTGCCGTGGGTACCAATTACGCTGTGACGTGCAGATTTCGCTCTCATATGTTCTGTGTCAGTAGCGGAGATGGGAATAGATTACCGCTAAATTGAATAGGACATAAATAGTGTTGGGTTCTTTAAACCATTTTTTAACCCTTCTGGTTATTTTTATATAAGTGGGAGTCTACATACTTCGGAATACTGAGTGTTTAACGTGTTCGTTTAATAACAACAGTTAAAAATACTGTCTGACTGATGACTGAAATCTCGAAATGCTATTGCGAAATAAATGTAAATACTTGTACAGTAAAACAGTTCACAATAGTTGCCGAATGGTGGCTTTGATCAGTTAATCCTAATATTTTTATTTACAGACAATATTGGCTACCTACAGCTTGAAGAGAGCTTCCATATGAGAATAACTTAAGTGGCAGAAGAACATTTACTAAACAACAAATCCTCGCAAAACCAATCCCACCCAGGATTTAACTACTACTGTAATCCTACTGATACTAAAAAGAACATTTAAACCTCAATAGAGCAGACGACAGATATGCTTGGGATCCAACAACTTATAAAATTAGATCCATACACAAGCATACCACCACAAGTGTTCAATATTATACGAGCTCGTTCTGCGTAGATCAGATTAGAAATTTTAAAAACTGAAGGAAAATCGGGTTACCAATATAACATTACAACATTAACGCTTCCATTTCCCCCGTAACCATGGGTGCTGTAAAACGCTCGAAACGTCGACAGGTAAAAAGTTAAAAATAAATGCAATACTCGTACAATCCGTAAAATCTGATTGCATGCTTTCAATTATCTTACATTTATTCATTAATACACTGCTTCTTGCGGTATTGCGTCTTTTGATGGAACTGCGGGTGTGCTGTGCCTGATTCGTCGCATCTTGTAGTTCTGGTCGATGGAGGTATACAGACGGTGATGTCCACTCGGATCGTATGAGGAACCGTCGAGGAACTTCAGGCTTACGCGATCCCATCGTAAGCCTGAAGTTAATGGTATTTATGCTTGTTGCGTTTTGCAGCATGGCGTCTCTGTAATGGTAGCGGGTCTCTATTCTCAATGGCGCTCTCTGTGTCTTGGTTTGACTCACACTTAAGTAGCTTTGCCCAAGTCGGGTCACTTAATGACGGGGCTGCAGACTGTCTGACCTCCATAATATTTTTTATAACAACATAATAAAGTGTCTCTGTTAATTTCCTACATTTGAATGATTGAAGCCAACTTGTTGTTGGTTACTCAACATCAGTTACACAAACCCTTTCTGATAAGGAATTAAAACATAGGCCTTCCCCAAATAATATTGTCAAACTTAATATTATTTATATTTTATATATTAAGTCTCCTTCAGTTCCTCCTTAGTAGGGCCTTACCTAAATCTACGCTTGATGATATTTTGAATTATAGAAGATTTGTATAATTTCTTGTAGGCTTTTCCTTGTAGTGTATAAGCTGAATGAAGGTACTTTAATTTGGAAATTGCACAGGGTACTTTAAAACAACAACAAGTATACCGACAAAAGGTGTGCGGATAGCACTAAGAAGGAAATGGATACTTTCCGCTACATCCGGCGGACAAATTGACATCGCTGGTTACCGCCTCCTTGAATGCGGCACGTAGACAAACAGGTGTCCTAATTTGTAAATTACTGCGCCTCATTCAAAAAATTATGAAATATTCGAAATTTAAAAACTTTAAAACGAATAACACAATATCGGTGACATTCCAACCAATTATACATGCGTCCGAAGGAGTAAGACGTATGGAATTGACAGCATGACAAATGTGAATCAAATCTGTAGCAATGTGACAACCATTTACCATATCACGTCAACTCGGTCACAACAGAATTTATTCTATTTAAAACTTTATGGCCGTGCAAGAGAGTTCAAAGTAGATTCAGATGAGATAGGGCAAGGAGACGATCAGTACACAATTGATATCGGTCTTTAAAGCCATGTATTGAAAGGTGAAAATCCAATGCTATACCTGCATCACCACAAACTGTAGAAGAACCAGCTCCAGCAATTTGCCTATTGCTGTGCTCTATTATCGCCCCCCGCACTCATTACTGAATTAAGGCGAGAGCGACTGCAAATTTTGTGACGCCTCTGCAATTCCTCTGAATCTAGAGGATGATTTATGTAACCTATTGTTGCCTTACGCTACACAAATAATATAATTGAATGAATGTTTTGAAGATCAAATGTTATTGAGGTTAAAGGGGACAAAGATTATATTATAAAAACAATCAAAGTATACAAAGACAAACTAAGCTAAGCTAAGAAAGCAGGAATTCTCCGAATAGAGAGGATCACAAAACCGCCGAAATAACAAAAGCCATGCATGATTGTCGGTAAAATTGAGGAATTTTCCCGCTGCCACTTATTTCCTAAAAAAACAACCTTCGCATTAGAAATTTCTCTTGGATCGTGGAGGAGTTTCACTACATATGCAAAAGGACAAACATCCAGACCAAAAAAAAATATTATTAGGCCATATTGAATACTTAGTTCGTGTGAGAATCAAATTCGTAGCCCGCAGACAAAGTGATTGATTAAAATCGGGACGTCGGTCACCTCAGTCCCCCGTGACCATGGGTGCTGGAAAGCACCCGAAACGTCGGGAATTAAAAACCAATTAAAATTAAACGCGATAAAATCCGTAAAAGTAGTTTTAATCAATGTGTAGTGTTCGCGTAAATATAAGAAATCATTCCGCAGACAAAGTCTTAATCAATACGCTAGTCTTCATACTTATATACCAAACACTAGACAATTAATCGCGTTCGGAGTACCGGTAATGACAACCTATAAAGCGACCATTTTAGATGCGTATAAATAATAAAGCTAGCGAACCGAGCAATAAAATTAACGGCTGCTATTTAAGACTCTCGTGCTCTATGGAGGAAACCAAATGCTTTAAAATTAATAGCGTGTAAACTAAATTAATTTTAAGTTTATTGTAAAGATAGAATAGCACAAATGATTTATTTAAAAATGGAAATTTAACGACGACTGTTTAAAACGTGATTTTTAATGAACCGATGAAGCTGTAAAAGATAAAAAAGTTAACAGCACTAACATCACAGAAACTAGATGAATCTGAACTATATAAGACACAAGCTTCACGTATACTTTATATGCATTTATAGTCCAAGATTAATAAATAATCAAAGAAAATTTCTAAAAGATAGTGTTTTAATAAAATCTACACAAAACTATATGCGAGATACTTTGCCCATTTTTAACTCAAAATATTTTGTCAGTTTTATTCGTCAGAAAACATAAAAACAAACAATTATAAAAGACTTCGATTAAAAAAATATTTACATTAAAAACTTCGCTTTTATTAATGCTGCATCAATAATTATTGATATTTTCATCAAATACAATAACAATTGTTAAGAAAAGTATTTGTAAGGTAAAGTACTAATTCTTAAAGGTAGAAAACAGTAAATTTACAAATTCTCTGACAGACCTTAAAATATGCTGCAGCGTCAAAGGTACTGTGATCATCAAACCGCTTGCAAAATTAGATAATTAAGGCAAATCCTCCCTACATCGGAGGAGGCCGAGAAAAAAGAATAAGCCAGACAGATAACCTAAACATTCTTTTCAACTCCTGTTAAATCCAAAAAAACTTACCTGGCATAAAATGCAGTAGCGCCGCGGTGATGGGATACAGGCTGGGGCTGTAAGTGATGTCGGGGCAGGCGTAGCCCAGCACGGAGACCACGCGGTCAGCTACCGCACGACCCTTGCGCGTCAAGTGGTAGCCGAGGCAGTGCGTCGCCTCCACGAAAGGAGGCAGCATGATCGGCTTGTCCGGCAACTCCACTGTGCCGAACACCTAAAACAAAAACGTTTATTTTTATTTTATTCAATAAGGTACACAAACAGACAGTACTTCTATACAGTTCTAAAATTACAAGTATAATAGCGTAAATTTAAACTACGACCCAAAACGTGCACACAGCATTAATAATATAACTGCAGTAGAGACAGTCGTAGTAAATACTAAAAAAGACTTTAGTTTTGTATAATTTTGTTTCACAGTGAATTATTTAGCAGCTATCAACGTTCCGGGAAGTCTGCAGTTTGCGATCATATCCTAGATGGCCCCAACCATTACATCAGATTTGAAAGACCACAAATCCTCGCGAAAGAACATCGATTCCTACCAAGGATGATACGTTAGGTTATTAAAATTAAAAAAACATCCTAATTTCAATAGAGAAGGAGGCTGGGTACTACCACCTGCTTGGGACCCTATAATTAATAAAATTAAAACTAAACCCAAGCATACCACTGCAAGACTTCAAAACACATTTAGTTCATTCTGCGTAGATCTGACCAAAAACAATAATTAAAAAGCTGAATGTACTCCGGGTTAACTTTGACATCGGGACGTCAGTCACCTCAGTCCCCGTGACCATGGGTGCTGGAAAGCACCCGAAACGTCCGGTATTAAAAATAAAATAAACAAAAAGCGATAAAATCCGTAAAAGTAGTTTTAATCAAAATATAAAACGAATAACTGTAATAATATAAATAATATAACCATTGCATTACATATGTAGACTATTTTTTAATTTTTTTGCATAGGTACTTGGGGTGTAAACGGGCACACAACCTAATTAGTGGTTAATGGCCCCCCTAAGAATCAAAATCGGATGCGATCCTTGAAGACTAAAATGGAATGCCTCGTTTAAGGTAAATGGGGTCTCCCTGGGGTGGGGGATTTTCGTCATTTAACAAATGAAACACATCAGCATTATGTTGCTATTTCATGCTGGTATTCCGGTTCTTTCTCGGTCACGTCGATCTTAAATAAGCCGCAACCAGAATATGCTGCTATACCACAAATAACTAAAGCAAGATCTCTCTCAAAGTGCCCATCTTCCTTACCCGGGGTACATCTGTACCCGATGTAAGGGAGTCGATTGCGGACGAGGCCCGAACGATTAACAGATCGCAAAATACATTTAAAACCGAACGTCGAACCTAATTTTTACAACCTAATGATGAGGAGTCGCATCACTAGAGCAAGAGGATCCGGTTTTGCACTCACCACATGATTGTCATTACATTCCCTCGAAATATTTTATTCCGCAGAGATGGAGTCTTCCTCAATATATATTCCTTCGCCATGGAGCACGTGGCGTATTAAATCAGCTCTTAAAATATAATAACAATATCATTTAACCAAATAAAATAACTATTTTATACGTGGTAGAGTCACTCTGCAGCTATATTATGGTTGCAGCACGAATGGGTCGGCTCAACCGAGGAAAGACCACGCCCTCATAGAATACCAGCTCAAAATAGCAGCTTAATACTGTTGTGTTTCGTATGGTGAGTGTAGAGATCTGGAAACACTTTTTTATTGGAAACGAGGCATTCCATCTTAGTTCTCAGGGGTGACAACGCATCTGCGTTTTGATGCTTAATCGAGGATAAATGTAGGTGTCTATGGGCCACAGCATCCACTTACATCAGGTGAACTGTGTGCTCGTTTGTCACCCTTATTCTATAAAAAAAAAATAGCGGGCATCGAATCCGGGTAGTTCGCAAACTGTGAAAATAACATGCGTTAAGCTCCTGAGTTACCCATAACTCTTTCAATTTATGTTGATTCTTCATATTAAAATATTTCGTGACGATACAATAAAATCATAATTTTTAATAGTCCAATATTACTAACGTACTAAACGTTAAGAACAAACAGTTTTATTAAGGATACACAAGGTACAGCATAACGTTACGTTGAAGCGTTTATGAATTGATCATGTTCATCAATTTAATGATGTTTTTCTATAAAACCGTGCGCAGTGCACGTACAAATTGATTGAATAAACACATTTGAAACTTGTTGTCCACCTGTAGGCAAATTCGCTTCGCTCGTCGTGATTATCCACTTTGCGAGCGAGGCCGCGGGCTGCCTCCAACAGGCTCTTACCGCCTCTAAACGCTGTTTCTATCAACTTAAATGTCTAAATTGCTATTCACAGGAAAATTGTCGATTTAAGAGTAAAATATAACTAAATATACCAAAGATATTTTTCGGTCCTTCGAAATTAACAGATTTAGTGATAAGACCAACCATCCGTTTCCAATCATCATCTACTGTTTACGGCTTTTAATGGGGGATAGTTATTCATCATTTCTAATCGCGTCGCCGTTTTAGCCTATTATAAGTGTGCTGCTGAACTGCCATATTTGGCTCGCTTGGCAGGCGGGTTGGCCAGCGCAGTTTTTTATTATTTCCTTCTTATTAAGAAGACACTGCTAACTATTTCCTGGTTTATTTCACTGTGTCGTCTTATTAGACCCACGTGTTATTATTAGACCCGCATATCGTCCATATGCTGGAGTGGATTTTCTTACCGCCATCACACGGTCATCACCGCGTCACATCAAATGTAAATTTTAATTTTTATATAAAATTAAAACAAACGAACTTACAGTCCACCTGACCAACTAAACTAATGAACTACATACCATATAGATATAACGCTATATATATATATATGTATATATATATATATATATATATATATATATATATATTGTTGGCGACGCGCCTATAAGAATATTTCAGTTTATTAAGTCAACCGATGAAGAATAACGTCTCAAAGGCATATTGTCCAATAGCAATGTTCTAATAAGAAAATGCTTAGTTAGGTAGGTAGGTAGGTATCTTGAAGAAATGTCGAATTAATGATATGAAGGTCTTGGGTTCGACTCCCAGGCCGGACTAGTTTATTGTTTTCCTAAGTAATATCGCTTAATAAATTCATAAGGAATTTAAAATATAAATTATGTTACCGGATTGTTTCCCCCGGTTGAAATCATCTTTCAAATGATGTAAATTCAAAGGAATATTGAAGTGAAGTTAGAGATCGGATTTGTTCCCCGGTCGAGATGATCACTCTGTGCATAAATAGAATTAACGGAAATTAATTGCATAAGTATTGTCTTATATAAGTTTGATATGTTTTGTACGAAAACAAATGCCTATTTGCCATGATTGATTTATGAGAACATTCACTTATATTGTTATCTGATAAGAAACATGATACTCGTAACTGATAAGAATCTGATTGAAAATTGTGTAGATGCATTTATTCACCCAATATTGTTAAAATTGGTGTATATCAGACTTTCATTTTTTCTGATAGCCGAGAGCCGTGCAAAAGTTAGTTGTTCAAATAGTGTGAGTTCATAGACGCACGCTGGCCACGCCCTTAGGAGGCCGAATATGTAAAAATTTAAAATGTTTGTAATTTCAGCAATTTATGTAAAAATGACTTATAAAACATTTCAGGTTGATTGTACGTGCTAAAAAAGGTGAATTCTGTGTTATTTTTATATGAAAATTCCTATGTATAAGTGAAATAATGATAGTTTTGTATAAGAAATTTAAAAGTGTTTTAAATAGTGAAATAAATAGAGAAAATGTAAATTAAACTATTGTATTAGTTAACTTATGTATAATTTCAAGTGGAAAACATTGTTTTAACTTTCTATGTTAAATATTTAAGAAATTTTGACTTCAAACTTGTGAGTAAAATAGGCATATTTCATTTAATAAATAAAAGGTTTTTCGTGATATGAAAATGTAATGTATATCGTAGTGTAGATATTGTTTTGTGCTATCTATACAGATAAATTGTATTGATGTAAGACTTATGCAAATAAAGAAATTAAGTAAAACGTGAGAGAGTAATAGAACAAATTCATGTAATTGAGTTGCGCAAGCGCGCGAATGGCGCGGCTCACTTTCGCGTATAGCTCTGGGGTAGCTTAGTGAACGGGTTTTATTGCAATTCGTTCGGGAAGTTCGGGAATCCTTCGGGAAGTTCGGGAATCCTTCGAGATAGTTCGGGAAAAAAGTTCGAGAAAAGTGAAAGACCAGCAGTCAATAAGAAGAAGAAAGAAAAAGTGTAGGGAAGTGATAGGGAAAAGTAATTACTCTCTCACGGAACGGTTTGAAGATAATTGCTGTTTTATTCCCAAGAAATTCATCCCTCAAAATTATACAGTCCACATCGAAGAATTAAGGCGTTGGGACCGGGACGACTTCGGAAGACCCGTAATCCCCGTCTGAACCTACTTGCTGAAAAGGAAGAGGTTATCGCCCTTGTGTGTTACTCCGTTGCGGAGATCACATACGTTGTTCCCGAACCCAACGTAGGCGTTATAGGAGGCCGGATCGAGAGAAGCCTCGATTCCTCCCTTCTGTTTCAGAGCCCGAACGTTGTGCTCCTCTTAGGTTCCTTTTCAATTGGTCCTTCGCGGCCGGATTGAGAGGACGCCCGAACCTGGGTTCCTTATATATATATATATATATATATATATATATATATATATATATATATATATATATATATATATATATATATATATATTGCGTTATTTACATTTAAACGTAGCTTGTAAAAAAATTAAAACAATTTTTACGGAAACTGTAACAGCGTTTCTTTTCGATGTCAAATTTATAAGGAGAATTGACAGAAAACCAATATATTTCAATACAGATTTAGATTCTTTTGACTCTCGAATTTAAATTATAAATAACAAAGATAATTTATTTAAAAAAGAGTTAGTATCTATATTGAGATTATGGGTTTTGGCGGAGTGCTAAAGGAAAGTTAATTTGCATAATTCCAACCATAACATATGTGATATCTGTATAATATTATACCATTTGCTAAGTAAATTCGGGGAGGGGGTTGGCTGGTGACCTGTAATAGCGGTCTCTGAACCTACACGGGCACCAGTCTCCCACGAATGACAAAATAGAGATGATGAAAATAGAGATGTGACACTAATATATCTTCCATGTCGTTTGTGGTGAGAAATAAGTTAATTATTTTTATTATTACACGCAATTGATTGTGTACATTTCCTTGATATTGAAAAGGAAAAGTACCATCCGACGCGGTAGCGGTAATAGTTTGTGTTTGCATCGCGGGAAATTAATTGATTTTGACTTCGTAACACCTCACTACTTTATTACCGATCCGTTCTCGATGGTCAAAAGAGCATAGTGAAACTAATTGAAGAGTATTTAAAAACCGTATTTAATGTTATATTAACACTATTAGCTGATGGCCAGAACAACAATTAAATAGTGATATTCAGATTCAGATTTAATTACTTACCTAAATATCGTAGTTAAACAGTCATTAACCATATTTGCAGTGTGCAGTCCTCTATAAACACGAGGATCAATATTTTCAATTCCGATAAGAAAAACTTGTATTTATACGCCTGTGTAATGATACCACTTCATACGTAGATTAGAAATTTACCTCCCGTACTCGTTAACAACATCTGTGTCTTTAATTTTTTATATCATTAGATAGGCAAAGATCTATCAGGGTAAGTTGCATGGACACTTGAAATAAAGAACGTAATGAGACTGACTCACATTTCAAACCTGTGGAAGAAAAACCTAAGATTGTGGTATAACTAGGAGTGTTCATACGCAGAAGTTCTAAATCCTAGTAACTAGACAATTTTATATATTAAATGTTCAATTATTGTTGTTGAAGAGAGTAGAAATTTGTCAGTAATTTTTAGCTTTAATTTAACTTGCTTACTTCGCATGTCTTAGCGGTTGAAGTTTTGTAATCAAATTTAGAAGCATTTGCTAACATCCGGCTTAGCTGAAATTTGGCAATAGTATGATATATTAACATAAAGCAGATCAGTGGTGGATCCGGGTGTGTGCCCCAGCAACGCCTTTAAAAGCATATTTTTTAAAATAAGCGTTGAGCTGTAGTCATAGAACAATCATCTTACTATTGAATAAAATAAATACCTTTATTTATCAACGGCCTTTCTAAAACTAATGTATATAATATATAGCACTAGCTAATGTATATATAGCACTTTGAGTTCATATTCACCACGCTAGATAGGCCTGTTGAATAGCACATTTATTATTCTAAGCCATGGTTTAGTTACAATCTCACCTGATGGTAAGTGGTGATGTAGCCTAAGATGGTGAAGCGCACTAACTTAACAAAAGCCTATTCACTCTTGCCTTGATGACATCAACATTGTATCGGATGGTAACACAGATGCTGGTAACTTATTCCACTCCTTTGCTGTACGCATGATAAACGATGTAGCAAGCCGTTTGGTTCGAATGCGTGGCAGGTCAACAACGAAAGGGTAGAGACAAACCGACCGTCTAGATGTCCGTTGGTGGAGGGGAGAGGGAGGAATTAAATTATGCGATCTCTGTGCACACTCTACGAAATGCATCCTGTAGAAAACCGAAAGGCTGGCTATTTTGCGCCTGTGTTTGGTTTTAACCAAATTCGTGTCACCAATAAGCCCTTTAGCACGCCTTTCCTTTGAGTCCAAAGCTGCTAGGTGACATTTTGCAGCACCAGCCTATATATGGCAGCAATACCGGACTTACACTTTATATAAGGAAAGCAGCTGTCCCGACGTTAAGTATCGTCGCACTTTAGCAAGGACTCCTAGCTTCCTTGCAGATGCTTTGGCCTTGGACTCAATGAACCGCTACAGTTCAGATTTGAGGATATCTCAATCAACAACAAATGTAGGCGGTTGGTGTATTCCAGTGATACATTTTGGCCAAGATGAGCTGGCTCACTTTTGCA